TTGAGACGTTTTGTGTTTATATTTAGTTGGTGATTATATGTTGGAGTGACATGCCCACAATTTTAGTTTTGTTTTTTTTTTTTTTGGCATGTTATCTATACAATTAGGGTACTGTGCTGTGCTCCTCTATTCACTAGTTGACAGCACTTATACACTCACCACCTGTCTCCTTTCCTGTTGTCAGTCTCTTGTTTGTCCCTGCTGACATTGGCAAACAGAGCCTATTCTTAGGTCCCTGGAATCCAAATGAGAATGCTATCACTTTAAAATCCAAAATGGTTGTCACTTGTAGACATTCAAAATGGCTGCACCCTCAGTCACTTTAAATATTCCAAATGGCTGCCACTTGTAAACATTCAAAATGGCTGCACCCTTGGTTAGTTTAAATATCCAAAATGGCTGCTGCTTGTAAACATTCAAAATGGCTGTGCCCTTGGTTACTTTAAATATCCAAAGTGGCCACCACTTGTAAACATTCAAAATGGCTGTGCCCTCGGTGAGTTTAAATATCCAAAATGGCTGCCACGTGTAAACAATCAAAATGGTTGTGCCATCCAGACAGCGGAAAGTCAACAGCTCAGGTTGTCTCCCTCCTTGCTGTTTCCCTTCCTAGTCATAGGCTACCAGTGCAGTTGTCCCTGGAAGTAGCAGTGAAGAAATCAAACAACATATTACATTGGACAAATATGTTGCAAAAGGCCTCTTGTAAGTATTAAAGAGCAAAGATGCCACTTTGTAGACTAAGGTGCTCCTAATCTAAGCCATAGTATCTTCAATCATTTCATATGTATGCAAAAGTTGGACAATGAATATTTTGTTTACCTAGTGCTGTGACTTGACAGCACATAACAACAACAACAGTGCTGCTCTGACAAGAATACAACAAAAGTAGGATGGGTGGAACAAACAGGAGTTTATTCTCTTATAGTTTGGAGGCTACAAGTGTGAGTTCAAAGCACCAGGTTCTAGGGGCTGGGTGAAACCCCCTCAACCTTGAGCTTCAGCTCTGCCTCCTGCTCCTGGCCCACTGAAACTGAAGGCTTTTCTTTATTCAGGTATCCAATGGTTGCTGAAGCTGACAAACCCAAGGTTGACAAGTAAAAAGGCACAGTCCCAAAGATATCAAACAAAATGCCAGGCCATTAATCATGTCCAGAAGTCCTAAGATCAGCAGAGCCTGGCAGGCTGTTGAACAATGACTTGGCTACATGCAAGGCTCAAGTGTGCCATAAGCTGGAGACCTTCCTCAAAGTTCCTTCTTATATACCAGAAGCAGCCCACATCCCTAAAGCTGCTACTCAGCTGCTCCAGTAGATTCCACCATGGAGTTAATTACCAATCTCACCATGGGGAATAACTACATCCAGCTGCCCAGCCACTCAATGAGGCCCAGCCAAGTTGACATGCAACCTTAAATAGCACAATGAATAAGGAAGAATTGATGCCTTTGAATTATGGTGTTGGTGAAGAAAACTGAATATGCCATGGACTGCCAGAAGAACAAACAAATCTGTCTTGGATGAAGTACAGCCATAATGTTCTTTATAGGCAAGGATGGAGAGACTTCGTCTCTTGTACTCTCATCATGTCATGAGAAAGGACCAGTCCCTGGAGGATATCATGCCTGGTAGAGTAGACAGTCAGCAAAAAGGAGGAAGACCTTTGTTTTGGTTACCTAGTGTCACTCTGACAATAATACACCACAGGTGGAATGGCTTAAACAAACAGGAATTTATTCTCTTACATTTGGAGGCTTTAAATCCAAGTTCAAAGTGCCAGGCTCTAGGGGCTGGGTCAAAGCCTCTCAACCTTGGGTTGGGCTTCAGCTCTGCCTCTTGCTCCTGGCCCACTGAAGCTGGAGGCTTTTTTTTCACTCAGGCAACTGTTGGCTGCTGAGGCTGACGAACTCAAGGTTGCCAAGTAAAAAGGCACAGTTCCAATGTTACCAAACAACACAGCAGGCCATTCATTGATTTAAGTCCATTGAAAGTCCCAAGGCTGGCAGAGCACAGCAGGGTGCTGAACAATGACTCGACTACATGCAGGGTTCAAGCATGCCATAAGCTAGAGACCATTCCCAACGCTTCTCCTTATATACAGGAAGCAGACCACATCCCTCAGGCAGCTACTCAGCTGCTCCCAGTAGGTTCCACCATAGAGTTGATTACCAGTCTCATCATGGAGAATACCACATCCAGCTGCCCAGCCACTCAGTCAGGCCTGCCAAGTTGACACACAAACTTAACTACCATAACCTTCAAAGAGATTAACTAACACAGTGGCTGCAATGAAGGGCTCAAGCACAGCAAAACTTGTGAGGATGACAAAGGGCCAGGTAGTGTTTCATTCTGTTGTACATAAGGTCATTATGAGTTGGAACCAAGTCAATGGCATTGAACAACACCAACAATCTGAAGACCTTTTCTCAAAGAAAAGTCTTGGTGTGGTATTAGAAGACTGGTGAATGGATTTGCATTTGAAATTTTAGGGTGAAATGAAGTACTCAAGATTCTAAACAATTCATTTTATGATCCCTCACTTTAAACTGACTTTTTAAGCTAATCAATCAGCCATTGGCTAAGTACACATTAGTGAGAGAGCATCTTTTGTTTTTCATTCAGGCAGGGTCACTGTTGCTCCTTTGGGCTTTCTGGATGAGGCATTTCTTGGAAGTTTATGTGTAAGAAGAGCTGAATTATTGGACAATCTTTGGACTTTCTCCACTTCTATCAAGTGAGGTGGAACAGTAGAAACTTCCCAGAGTAAATGAATGGTCAGAGAGGTGTGCAGGCATATGCCAAATCCATAGTGGTTTTCTGATTCTCCAGGATCTATAATCCCAAGCTTTATGACACTTGGCAATAGGTATAACTATGCAGCTGTCCTGCTCAGCAAAGCAAAACTAATACTTGTATTTGTTGTGGATTTTAGGGAAGAGCTCTGACGTTTTTCTTTGACGATATGGGTCTTAAACTAAATCTATAACCTTAGCTGAAGCATTTTTCAGAGGAGCTTTTCTCTGCATGACAGCTCATAATAAACGAGTTTACTATGGAGAGGTCCATAGCACTTCTGTATTGTTTGAAAAATATATGAAATTTAAAAGAAGTAGAATATTCACATCATATATAATTGCCAATTTAATCTAGTTTCAAATTTAGAATTGTAAGCCAGCCAAAAAGAAATTAGTATAGATACAACCCAAATGGCCAATTTCACTATTGCCTTTGGGATCTACATGATCATTACAACAGTAATGGATAATTGTTGTAATTGACTTCAGATAATATTCACCTTTAACCCTACATTTTCCTAATTATTCTCCTTCTGCTGGGTGCAAATATGGAAAGCATTAGACACACTGAAGTTGAAGTAGAGGTGGAACTTTGGGGAAAGGGAAGAATTCCCGTCTCAGCAAACTTCACAAAGAAACAGCGATGTCAAGATAAGGGCAATCTTCCAGTCACCTACGATAAACAATCATCAAAATGAATGGTCCTGGAATCTTTCCTTTTCTCTCTAATATAGATAAAAGGTGCAAATTTCAAAAACCATACACAGTCACTGAGAGTTCACCAAGAGGCTTTCACACAAAAAGGATGACACTTTAAAGCAGCAAGTATTTTGAGCCTGGTCTAAGAGAATAACATATTTCACCAATTACTGTACTGTACACTTACAGATTTAATTGTTTTTCTTTTTCTTGTTTCTCAAGAGACATGTTCCCCCCGCCCAAGAACACAGCTACTGATTTATTTTTATTGTTTCACTAAAAGGAAGCAAGTAGCATCCAACCAACCACTATAATTTGTAAAACCCACTGCCAGTAAATTTTACTTAATTTATACTTTTGCCTCAAGTTATGCCTTCAAAATTACATCATTTTTTTTCTGTTTGAACCTGACAAAAATTGTCTGTAATAATGAACTAAACTAAAGCATATACTGATATACTTCCTTGCAACCTATGTTTTTCAGGTAAACTCACTACTCTTTTTCTCTCTTCAAGAATGTCATTTGAAAATTGCAAAAAAATTAATTCATCACTATAGCCAATGTACAATCTGGTAAGTGCCCTTGAAAGAAAGTCTCTTTTCAAAAATGACATTTCTTTATTGTAAAGTCATACATGCTCATTGTGGAACATCTGGAACAAACAAGGAAATATAAACAAAAAAAAAATTCAAATAAACCATCATTTCACGAAACAGACATAAGCATTGTAAACATTTCGGTAAACTTCTTCCTAGTGAAGGAATGTGATTCTTTAATAAATCTCGAAAACTTTCTTCTATTCCTTTGTAAAAACTTCTATTTCTCAATAAAAAGCTCTCTTATAATTTTTCAATGGGATTTAGATTTCTTGCAATCTTTGGAAAAGTTTTGATAGCTAAGTTGGTGTGTATGCTTTTAAATTTTTATGATATTGAATAATAAGTAACAGGGTCCTACAGTCTAAACAGTATACTAAGGCAGAGCATTGTTCAAAGAGATACTTTAAAAGCTCGTGTCAGTTACTTAAGAATGATGATGTGAAAATAAGCTTTAAGAGAGACCTGATAGGACCTTTAATGAAATGTCTGATTTGATTGGTTATGTATTATAAGCATTTCCAAAAGGAAAACAGTATGACAAAATTCAATGAAATGCAGGCCAATTTGTGGAGTATGGAAACCTCTTTAAGAGGTTCCTAGGAGCTTCATGGTATTCGATCCTTCAAGGTAAGGATTCACCTTAGTTTACCTTGCCCACATTTGGAGATTCTGAGGTAAGGCTTGGTAATCATGTCTCCACATGTTCCAGATTAAATATATTTATTATCTGAAACCTTGTAGAGAAAAGCATGTTGAAATTCAGAGTTGCAAAATGGAAGTGCCTAAGAGCAATATGGACTGTTGCTCTGTTCAAGAGGAAGAAACAAACCCACCATACGCTAGGATAGGATGAGGGAAATAGACAATGTCTGAAAAGCACAACAGCCAGCACCACGCATCTGCTTACTTGAGTGCCGTTCTGTAGTGGTAGATGGCTTCCCTGTTCCGACCTTGATCCTTCAGGAAATTGGCATAGTTGTAGTGTACCTTGGCATTGTGGGGCAGAGTTTGAACTCCAGACCTAAAATTAATAATTAAAAAAAAAAAAAAAAAGCAACAAAGAGTACTGTTTAGGAATGTTGCCAGCTTCCTTCATATTTTACTCACAGTTTCATAAACCTGTATTTGAAATGGTCCATTGTATCCATCTAAGCCAAAGCTTCCAAAATTGGTGAATTATATGAACTACTAAACAGGCTTAGGTGGAAAATGATAAAGAAAGCCAGTATGCACAACTGAACAAACATACTAACTACATAAGAACCAAAAAAAATGTCCTTAACATGGAAACATAAAGGTCCTTATACTGCCAGAGGCACAGACAGAGCCCGGGTAGGGCTCTGCCCTCTCACTTTGAGGTATCTTCCAAAAGGACCCAATTATAGACCTGAGTACATCAAAACAACAAAGGAAACACACAACTGTCCAATTAACAGGCCAATCTGACTTTCCTAATCCAGGGTGCAGTTGGCAGAAGATGCAATGATGCTGCAGCTATGCTCCTGCAAAATTAGTTCTGCAAAGGATAAGTACGAGAACTTAACCTTTTAGTGGGAATTTCAGCATGAAGCAAATCCTTTCTTCCTTTCACATGTATCTCAGGGGCCGGCTTTTCATTCATAGACTTGATGAAAGAGCCTAAATTGATCTCTGTGAGCACAATAAAAAGAACTACAGAAAGATAAAATGGTTTTCATAAAATGAGAATAACACAGAACTGCAACATCTTCCATAAAACATGAGATGCCTGTTAGTCTCTGCCTTCTTTGCGACCATTTGTTTCCTTCAATATTGGAACCCATGAAACTGGTTTATTTGAAAGACATTCTTCCACTTCCCATACCACCTACAAAGTTAGGACTACTTCCTTTGCATGCACAGTTCTCAGGGGTACCAGGGTAAAAGAAAAACAAGTTCCAGAAAGTTCCTTAATTATACATTAATGGTGGGTGGTAAAGTCAGGCTTGCCTGTAACGACTATCACACACCTGACCCTAGTATGGTCTGGAGTGAATGCAAGGAAAAGAAAAGGTAAAAGTTAATGTCGGACAGAGTAGAATAATTAAAAAGAAATATATTCTGGAATGAGATAGTCTGATCAAATTACTCTGGAAGCATTTCTTTGAAGTAAATGGTATAGTTGTTCATTATCTATAATCGGTCCCTTTCATGTCAGGTTCTGTCTTGTTCTCCAGTGCTGCTATAATAGAAATACCACAAGTGGATAGCTTTAACAAACAGAAATTTGTTTACAATTTAGGAGCCTAGAAGTCCGAGTTCAGAGTGCTGGCTCTAGAGGAAGACTGTCTCTCTGTCTGTCTGTCTCTTGTTCCTAGAAGGATCTCAGCACAGGTACCCTGGGTCCAAAGGACACACTCTGCTCCTGGCTCCTTTTTCTTGGTGGTAGTAGGGCCCCACTCTCTGCTCTCTTCTCTCTCCTAAGATAAAAAGGTGTTACAGACCATACCACAGGGAAGCTCCCTTTAGATCAGATCAGGGCTGTGATGGGACAAAGAATGTTGCAACCCACCCTTAATCTTAATCCTTTTATACTTGATTGGTTTATCACATCAGATTACAACACGAGGTATTATTACATATCTGCCACCCACCAGCCACTCCCCAGAAGGAAGGTTGGGCGATCTACTTCTGTAGTGATATCCCCTCGGAAACCCAAGGAGGGGTCGCTATGAGTCAGACCTGACTCGATGGCAGCGGGTTTGGTTTTTGGTTTTGGCTATATTACATTATTACATAATATCTAAACCACTGAGAATCGTGGCCCAGCCAAATTGACACAAATTGTGCAGGGACACAATTCAATTCACGACAGGCACTGTATCAGATGCTAAAGATATAATAAGATAGAGTCCCTGCCCTCAAGGAGCTTGCAAGGGAGTAGGAACTATGGGCCCTTAGCAAAGATAAATAACAAAACTGTTTGTTTAGTTGTATACCCTTGCCTTTTAACAGTGCGTAGTTGGATACTTATCCCAGATGTGGGGATCAAGGGAGGCTTATCAGAGGCAGTGGCAGCAAAGCAGAGACTTTAAGGATAAGAAAACATTAAATAAGCCTCTAGAGAAGGAGGGAGGGAGGATGTTATAAGAAGGGAAAACAGAGAATCAAGAATGTGGGACTGTTGAGGGATTGAAAGAAATGCAGAAAAGCTGGATCATAGAAGGTTAGATCCAAGAGTAGAGAGATCCTGAAGGGGCCTTGTGAGGCTCATTAGAGAAACTGGGTTTTATTTTAAGAATAGTGGGCAATCAGTGGAGGGTTTTAAACAAAGAAGAGCGAGCAACAGTCTAGCATTTTAGAAGAACAGCTTTGGCTGTAGTATGGAAGTGGACTCGAAGGCGGAAAAGCTGGAGGCATGGAGACTATCTGGGTGTTGCTGTAGCAGCCGAAGAAAGAGAGAGAGAAGCAGAGAGGGAGAGAGGCAGAGACAGAAAGAGAGAGATATAAACAGAGAGAGATGATGGCCAGAACTTGAAAGGTGGGTATAAGGAAAAGCAGAAGGTTTCAGGAGATACTCAGGAAGCTGAGGAAACAGGAGTTGGGGAAAACCACCTTGCATGCTCAGTCACTTGAGTTAGCTCCTTCCTTCACTCACTCACTTAAAGCCTTCCTTGCTTTTTTTAAAAATTAGATGGTCTGCAATGATAAATCATTAACAAGAGGAGAATTATAAAGTGATCAAAGCAGAAATGGATCAAGGGAGTATCTGATAACAGTTATGGGATCTACAACACATACACAGATTTTATTCTTCAGCTCATGCCCATGATGATTTGTCCCTGGAAAAATGTCTGGGCAGCATTACCAATCATCTTCGATGCCCTTAAAATAATCCCATAATCAAATACATTTTCCTCACATTTTAATGTTAATGAAATCAAGATTTTTGTATATGTTTAACATAGCATTTCTTTTTCTTCTTTTTGGAATTTCCCTGAAATTGCTTTCAATCAGTACAGCATTTAACAACTGATGAAGACTTAGAACTGAGGAAACATGATAGCTGTGAAATGTACTTCAATGTAAACTAATGAGTTAGACTGTTGCAAAAGGTTACTGAATATATAAAGAAAGAATATATTGGTGGTTTTCTGCCAAAAATGATTTTAAATATTGTTGACCTTAAGACAGTTTTTCTGACAGTAATGATACAGCTGGCCCAGCTGTCTTTTTAGGACATTCAGAGCTCATGACAATAAAATCAACTTAATTACAGAATACTTTTCTGTTCTTTGGCTATTTCATCAGACTGAGGTTGTCCATTCTACCACCCCTCCCTGATGCAGCAGGTATGTGAGAGGGGCATCAAATTGACCACATACACCAATATTGAAGTCCACTCTTGGTGTGAATCCTTATTTTCTGACTCAGTCAGGTTAATCCCATCTCCCCAACCACAGTGATTAGTTCAGATAACCTAGGCCTAAATCAATCAGCAAAAGGCTGTACTACGCACACGGAAATTGATTCAGGAATGGACATGTAATGCTATTCAGACCAATGAGATGTAAGAAGAAAACTGAGAAAGATGATTCCAAACCCTTCTGAAAGCAGAAGGTATCTACTTGATATAGAAGCAATAGACACCAAGGTATTAAGAACAGAGAAACAAAAACAAATGTTGAGACACTAAATTGCTTACTGAGCACTATGTGCCAGACACTGTTCTGAGCACTTTTGTATGTATTAATACATTTCACTGAGTCCCTGGGTGGCAAAGCTAGTACTTTACTACTAGCTCAAAGGTTGATGGTTTCAACCTACCCAGAGGTTCCTCAGAATCCAGTCCTGGCAGTCTGCTTCTGAAGGGTCATTGTCATGAAAACAGTATGGAGCAGTTTCAGTCTGCACACATGGGGTTGCTATGTATTGGAATCTACTCAACAGCAACAGCAATGCATTTAATACATGTAACCCTGTAAAGTTAGGTTAGCCATGCTGAATCCTATTATGTTAAGCCAATAAACTACTTCCATTATTTAAGTTAGTTTGATTTGAGCTTACTGTCACCCGAAACTCCAAAAATTCCAAACAGATAAAGCCATAAAACTATTTTTCTTTTGGAGGTAGGAGAGCTTATATACTACCACTGAAATTATGGCTGAAACATGAAGGAAAATGTCTGCTGGATGTTCTGCACCATGAGCCTATCTAATCCCCAACTTTTTCTCTCCTTCTGGGGCACCAAACACCGTCAGTGAAATCTACATGCTTGAGCAGCATCCTATTTCAACCTTCAATGCTGGTCAACAATTACTTTGCTTATTCCTAAGCAGGTATCTTTTGAAATTCTCAAGGCAGCAAACTCCTTACCTTTCTCCACTAGCATCCTACCCCATCTCCTTTCCCACTCTCAGCAGAAGGCTGTGCTTACCATTTCATTGAGATAGGGTAGGGTATCATTTGTGAACATCCTCAACTGGTCCTCCCTGTCCTTCTCTCTCACTCTGCTTAGATTTTACCTGGGTTCAGCCTCACCCATCTCCAAAGTTGTTCTCAAGGGTAGCAGACCAACTTCTAGATGTCCTGCAGTGACTATGCACTAATGTGGCTGAGACCGAAATCATTAGTACCACCCACTGCCTCCCCAATGAAAACATCAAAATCCTCATTTTATCCCTATATTCTATAATTTTGCAGTAATGATTATAACAGTTTGAAAAATACAGTTAGACATCAGTGGTGGGATGGTCGAAAGAGGTAAATAGCTGGAGAAGTAGATCAAGGTATTTTGCCATGTGAGCATCAGAAAGTTAAGAACTGCATTGACTCCTCTCTGTGTTGGAGGGGGCTGAGATGTGGACAAGGACACTGACAGAGTCAGGTCAGGTCTTTACCTCATATAATAGGTATCGCACGGGATCTCTATGAGTTGAAATTGACTCGAGGGCACCTAAAAACAACACTGTGGGAGACTTAAAGGTCGGTAACCTTGTACAAGTATGGAAGAGGGTCATAGAAACAGTTCTGAGCACTATATGGGAAACTCCTACAGCTATA